GGGGGGCGGGGGGGGCAGGCCACGAGGGAAGCGATGCGCTCCCATTCCCAGACAGGCCAGCACATTCCTGCTGGGGTGCCACTGTGCCACCCACACCGCCCCGCCCGGCTCCCCCCTGCACACAGTGCCCATTGTCTGCCCCAGACACTTTGAGCTGGCGCTGCCCCCGGCCTCCGACACCGCCCCACACCCTCCTATCACCAGGTGGGGCTCCACGAGCCAGAGCGCCCCGTCCCAGTCCCCAGCCCCAAAGCGCCGCCATGCCAGTTATCTTGGAGCCGAGCAGTGATCAGAGAGGGAAGGCGACCTGCCCCAAGTCACACAGGCCAAACTCCAAATCCCTGGACACCACCCCCACCGTAAGAACTCCTCTTCCGCACCCCTATACCCAGGGAGCCACTGGACATCCCAGCTCGCCCCCCCTGGGCCAGACCCCTGCCTGGGTGTGAATATCCCCATTTTACAGTCCAGGAAGCCAACGCAAGAAGGAAGGAGCCTGCCAAGGCCACCCAGGGAGGAGCAACTGAGATGAGGCCAGGCCATGAGTCCCAGCCCACGCTCTCCACCTCCTGCAGGGAACAGCCCGGCACAGAGCAGGCCTGGTGGGCGGCACGGGGAGAACACCCAGGGGCAACGCGGCGTCCAAACAAATCCCCGCAGCGAGGGTGTGTTCCTGGCCCACAAAGGCAGGGCCGGCTGTCAAAGTCTGTTCGCTCATCCGGGTACTCAGGCCGAGGTCCGGGCGAGGCCGCTGGGAGCTGGGATGCAGGGCGAGCGTGTTCCAGAGAGACCCGCGGACGCAGATGGGGTAGATAAGGGCTCTGATGGCAAAACAAAAAAACAAAAACAAACAAAACAACCCAGGGCTACGCTATCCCGAAAGAGCAACCCCTCAGCGTGTCAACTTTCGATACCGACCCCTAAAACGACAGCTTCCAAACCCCGTTTTCTGGTTTCTGTTTCTCACGAGTGCTCACAGCAACCTCTTCTAACCCACAACAGTGCATATCCGTATATGTGTCCTGATTTCTCTCCTGAGAGCATTGGGACGTGCCGTCCCTCCCTGGGACACCGGGCAAGAGCCTCGTGGCTCCTTCCCTCGCTTGCTCCGGGGCTCACCTCCCTGGCCTTATCCTCTTCCTTTCCTACCTCTTCCTGCGCTCTGATCTACAACATATTTGCCTGTTTCTCTTGCTTACCAGCTGCCCCCCACGCCGCCCCTGTAGACTGGAATGCGCATGGCCGTTGGGATCTTTGTCCCCCGCCGTGGAAAGTAGACGAATCAAGACTGATGATTAGATTTTTTGAGATCTCAACATACCCGTAAGATTGGCTCCCAGATGGAGACCCAGATCATTTTCTGGACCCAGAAGCTCCCTTCTTGTCCTTCGGGCCGGTACCCACCCACCCCACCTCCAAGGGGAACCACCCTCCTGTTCCGCCCCTTCTTGACCCTCGCGTATACGGAGTCACAACACAAGCTCCTTTGCGAGACGTAGGTAGACTTTTGCTCCCGACGCGAGATTCGTCCGTGTCGCTGTGGGCCGCCAGGGACACCCGTGGGTTTTTAGCTTAAGAAACTGGGTGAACAGTGGCGCCATTTCCAGGGCTGGAGAGGCAAGGGAGGAGCAGTTAGGGGGGATCCAGTGTTTTCTTTGGGGCCATGGAAGAGGCAGCCGGCACAGGACTGAGGTGGTCACGAAAGGTAACATTAGCTTGTTGGTGCCATTAAAGCTGGAGAGTAGGGGGATGTTTGAATTGCCCGTGTTACTGACGGAATCATCTCTCACTGCCTCAGAGTCAGGGCCATCTTGCGCTGGGTCAGGCCTCCCACCTGCTCTCCACTGGGGGGCCCCTGGAGGACCTTGTTTGGAAACTGACCCGTATTTCAGGAGAGGAGTTGAGGCCCAGCACGAGAGAGTAACTTGTCCAAGGTCACAAAGCTGGTTAGGCTTGAGCCACAAATCCTTCCTCTGCCGAGGAGGCCCCTGCCCGGCCCTCCGCCTGGACCAGATTGGCTTGGAGAGACCCGGCTCAATCCAAATGAGGGTCTAGACCATGGTGAGGGTCCAGGTTGGCTGGGGGGGTGAGCAGAGCGCCAGGGTGATCCGTGAAGCCTCCCCGTGGGAAGCAGATCTGGCACCAGGCCAGACGAGCCCGGGGCAGGGTAACCCCCACCTGAAGTCACCGTCTCCCCAGCAGTGACATCACTGCTCTGGGCTGCACAGCTGGAGGACCAGGCAAGCTGAAGCGGGGCCAGGTAGGCAGCTGGAAGTGCGTCACCCACCCTGGGGCAACCCCCATCAGCGGCCAAAGCCCTCTGGCAGATGGCAGGCCCCCGTGTGCCTTGAAAACCAGAGCGAGAGGCCGTTGGGGTGGCGAAGGTGCCCATTACCGCTGGTCCCAGTGCCGCATTTTGCAACGGAAACTGAGGCCCAGAGAGGGCAGCACCTCGCCCAAGGTTACGCAGCAAGTGAAGAACAAATCCTGGGAGGAACCCAGCACGGCGCTCCGCCCTCTGACTATGCTCCCTGGGACGCTGTGCCCAGCCAAGGGCCATGGTCCCGGGTGTCCGGTTGGATGAGGGCCGGAGGGGAGGCCCGAGCAGTGGAAGAGGGCTATGCTTGGGAGCCTGCAAGGCCGGGTGGCCCATGCCCCCAGGGGCTCACAGGAGCCCAATGCAGACGGCCTCTGTGTTTATCAGCTGTCCTTGCACGGAATAGAAGCCCCGTGTGGGTGATATTTGTCTCTGCCCCACTCGTGGCTGTGTCCCCCGCACCTCACGGGATGCCTGGCACCTAGTAGGTGCTCAGGAAACATCTGAACCAGTGAACAAATCTATATAAGGGCAGAGGACGACTTAACAACTGCCGTCATTGGCGCACATGATGGGACTGCAGGCAAGGTCGGAGGATGTGGTCACAACTCACCCACATCCCGCCTCTCCGCCCCCCTGCCTGTCCCACCTTGGGTGTCTGTAGGCCGGGACTGCCTCCCAGCCCCCCACTCAGTCCTGACTTCCAGTATGTTCCCTGCCCCTTCCCACAGCTCCTCCTTCCCCAGGGGCTTGTTGGGAGCAAGCGGGAGGAATTCCTGGCCCCTAGTCAGGGGAGGCGCCCC